TACCGTAGCCCTGGAGCTTACCTAAATGACCAGCATGCCAAAACCTGTCAAACGCCTTCGAAATATCAAGAGCCACAGCTCGAACTTCGCCGTTATTATCAAAAGCTTGATATACATATTCAGTGATGGCCATTAACATATCAGCGTTAGACCTAAGGAAACGGAAGCCATATTGATTTTCCCATAGGAGGTAATAAGAAGTAAGATGCTTAACAACTTCAGCATTGATTAGAACCTAGAATACTTTGCCGAAAAGCGGTAATAGACTAATATGGTGATAATTTGAGGGGTCAGAGGGTTCTTTAAAGTTCTAAAAAAAACAGGAAATACAGAGGAGGACTTCCAGCTCGAGAGCACATTTCTTTAAAGCAACTGTTGGGATCCTGCCACCTCCGCTTTCCTTGTGGGTATCTAGTTTGTAAATGATGTCTGAAACTAGTGACAGGGTTATGCGCATATCACTCAGCAGAGCCTGGGAGGAAATCATGTGTGGGTACTCCAGTAGAGTTGAGTGGTGAAGTTGCAAGAGAACTTCCGAGTAAAGCACTCAACGTTATCATCTCTAGATATCAGGAACTCAAACTGATTGAATAGAGGAGGGGTTGAGGATTTTCTGTTGTTCAGCACGCTCTGTAGACCGCCAATAATCTCTAGAACCAAACTTCTGAGAGGCTATACGTTGTTTCATGTCATCAGAGAGTAGTAACTTTGCTTCGTTGAACTCATTACGAACATAGACAAATAGACGTCTGTTGCAACCATACATTTCGCTCTGTTACAATCGGAAAAAGTGATTTCTGTGGGCTATAGCGGCTCAGCATGCAGGTGAGAACCAAGATGATGAACATGATTTCACTTGGTACTTCCGTGCTGGAATGAAATCTTCGATGCCAGCTTTCACACAGGAGGCCCTAGAGGCGCATTTTTGAACAGGATGATTAAAAACTTCATTCCAAGAGACGTTACGAAGTAAATCACATAACGAGTCCAAATCTCTTCGTTGATAACAGAAAGATATTCTATTGGTAGGAGGTTTTTGGCTAGTTTGAGAGCAGAAAGTGATGTTTACAGACACTACCGCATGATCATAGTTGCCAAGCGGGCAGAGTTGAAGATTACAACATATCAGGAATAGAGGTAAAGAAAAGATCAAAAACAGAAGTGTGTTTGTCCGGATTACTAGAGAAACGCGTGGGGAAATCCACCACTTACCTGAGAGATTGAGTGATTGAGAAATTTAGGGTTTGGATGCTAACGAGATCAGTGACAGAGTCATGACGCCACCTTGGGCATTAAAGTCGCCGAACACAAATTTATTTGCAAACGGGTGTAGAAAAATGGCCTTGTCTATATTATCAGAAATACTTTCTAACACGCAACATTCAGAAGAATGGGAACGGTAGAGAAAGAAGAGATAGCTGACTGAGTTTAGTAGAGAGAGACGGAGCCACATGTAATAATAGTTTGGCGATTCAAGAGACAGTTCCCTAGCCAACAGATGTTCATGGACATAAACTCCCAGGTTATGATTATAAACATTAGAGTCCTTCTTAAGGAGATGGAGATAGCCAGGAATTGATAATTCAGATGAAGGGATTGCGGAGTTAAGATTAATTTCACAGAGAGCTAGGTTGTTCAGAGATTCTTCGAATAGGAACGATTCCACACTAGAGAAGCTGGTACGAACATCCCGAATATTGGAGAAAGAAAATTGAGGAGTTCAGGGGGTTTTGTTGAGCTAGCTTAAGAACTTATATTAGTAAATCGTTATTATCTACCAAAATATTCTTACAATGTAAAAATATTTTCTGGCTTTAAATAACCCGCAAAAGGTAGACAAGCCATAAATAATAAATGAACCAATCAATGCTGATGTTGTTATCGTTGCTGATAATGATGTTCTTGTTTTTGTTGATGAGGATGTTGTTGATGATGATGATGATGATGATGCTCTCTTATGTATTATAATTACATGTTCGGTAACTCTTTAGATGGCAAGATGATTCATTTTCAAACCGAAATAGTTTGTCTATTTAGAACACTACAATTAGGAGATAATATACTCATTTTAAATACAAGAGTCATGGAAATGACTTCAAAGGGTCGCACATTTCGACTTTCACACTTTACCTGTTATCCATTGGTGCTATACTTGAATTAAAATTAATCCCTCGCACTATAGATGACCATCTTAATTTCATTCAAATGGTGTGTATACATAGGTTTACGTTTCAGAATGTATACTTTAATTCAATGATGGATATAAAAATATTTAAAAAAATAATATTTAAATAATTCCATTTATTGCTGTATAATTTCCGTATAGTTTAAGAAAATCTTATAACCATCTGATTTTTTTAGGGTTTAGATATTTTTATTGTTTTTTCCTTTATGATTTTAGCGGTCAGCAGGAAATAGGGCCTTTTCAGACTGAGTGGGCGAAGAATGTATTATTCCAATGTCTTATTTCAAATTTAGTGAAATTGTATGTTTGTGTGTGAGTGCGCGCGTTTGTGTGTGTGTGTGTGTGTGCATTACACAATTGCACAAGCACATGAAAGTTACTCACGAATTTCACAGACATACGCACATACATTACATACGCACATGCATTACATACGCACATGCAAAGTCACATGCAGTGATGAACAGAGAACCAGATTTGCTTTTATAATATAGATTACGCAGTAAAGAACCACTGAAGAAAACTAAGTGCAGTACTAAAACAAATGAAAATTAAGTGGATGTTTCTAAAAAATTTATTTCACTTGAGCTCTCTGGGGATGAAGCATGAGTTTGTAAACAGTGACTATTATGGCTAATAATGCAAGACTCTTCAGTAAAGTGAATCGAATTCTCTCAGTCACTGTGTACTTATCTAAAAATATATACGCTTAACTTCACCTTCATCCCTGCCGTGCACCAAAGGCTTAAGGGGAGATTCTTCGAATTCAGCCGGGTTTCGATCCTAGCTAGAGGCAACCGGACGTCTAGCCATACTGATGAGCTGTGATACAGCGAAACAATCTGTCTGTGGATGACTATATATATATATATATATATATATATATATATATATAAACGTAACATCATATGGTTTAATCCACCTTATAATCGTAATGATGGTTACGTGTAGGCATAAAAATAAACATCATCATAAATACGTTGATCAAGATTAAATTTTAATTTAAATTACGATTTACTTTTAATGTGAATTACTATTTATTTTAATACAAATTACTGTTTGTTTTTTTTTAGATGAGAACAAATAATCTCCCTTTAATTAAAAAATGAATATTCACAGCTCAAAAAAAATTCTTACATACATATACAAATCTCGCTTATTTCATTAGCCTAATATAATTTTAAAATCAAAATGAAACTGTAATCCCAGTATAATATATAGCTGCGCCAACATTGTGATAACCAGATATATTTGTTAAAGTCCAAATTACGTAACGGTCAGCCCATACTCATCACCTGAAGACTGCGTTGTGCATGAAACTCCGAGACGTGCTACTGGTGAGAGATAATATGTATATTTATTAATGTATATAACAATTTATAATATGCATAACAATTTATCAAACAGTCATACATTTGCTAACTTCTCCATATATAATATATAATCCATATTATATATTATATATGGAGAAGTTAGCAATAGCTACCTTCAATAAACTAAAAAGTTTACTAACCCAGAGCTCAGAAATCCTTAATAGATGCAAGCTTAAGAAAGCCTGGTTATTAGAATAAAGTTTTTTTGTTGTTGTTGTTGTTGCTGTTGCTGTTTTTAGTCACGTGTTTTACTTCATTTTAGGTTTATGCTAATTTTAGGTTTTAGCCGTAATTTTATCAATAAATTTGTTCCTCGTTCATTCCTCCTTAACCACTTCACCCTAATGATTCCATGTGGTGAAACCTAGGTCAGTAGTACCTGGCTCATTAGGATATATATATATATATATATATATATATATATATATATATATATATATATATATATATATATATATATATATATATATACGTCATTTCAGGGAACATAGAATTAGTCAGTGCTATTTAATGGATATTATTATATCAACGTTACATTTCGTGGATACACGTGTTTAAGTAAACATATAAATAATTCCAAAGAAAAGTGATACCTAACGATTAAAATGTATTTAAAAATGAATAATCTTTCCTGAAGGTTTATTTTTGCTTTAATTTCAAGCTAATAGATTACATTTAATATTACTAATAAGCAAAATAATTTACTATATTTCAAAACGAATTTAAATTGATTGGAATGACTTGCTAAAAATCAGCCATTTTAGCGATTCTGTCATCACATGATTGTTTTTATTAAAAGTCTTTCAAAAATGAAATAAATTTTTCTTAAACTTTATTTGAGAATAAATAGCTGATTTAAAGTTTAATTAATGTAATTTGAAACAAATATTACTTACTTTTAGTTTAAAATATTGCAGAAAAGCATTCTTTAACACGGAGGTGGATATTTTTACGACGTTTTGACAACTCAAAAGAGATAGAGAGAGACTAATGTTTGTGATTTTTTTTTTCTATGGGGTCGCATTTCTGTAAAACTTACTTGACAAATATAACGGGAGCGCCTTTTTGTATACAATTTTTAACTACCCAGTAATCTTAAAAAATTAGGAAAATATTCTAAGCAATTTAATATTTTATTGAATTGCAGGTACTTTGGTTTCATAGTCTGACTTACGACTGATTGTTTAATTTGTTTTCTACGGTTTAGTAACCCATTGCAGGTTATTTAAAGCAAGGGGATATGTTTAGATTGTAAGAATTGTGGGGTGCGTGGAAGATAATAACGATTTAGTGATACAAGTCCTACTAACTAACCCATAGCTGGGAGGAGAAGAAATGAATTCATACTTTTCATAATGGTATTTGTGCGTAAGTTAACATAACGGAATCAAAGATTAACAATTCCGATTCGTTATCCATTATACCTCCACGCACATCCAAGCGTGCAGTATTTGGTATTTCCAAGGAATCACCCATCTATGTACTGACCAGGATCGACGTTGCTTAACTTTGGTGATCGTAAGGGAACCAATGTTTCAACGCGATGTTGCCGTAAGCCCTTACTCGAGAAAACAGCTGCTTAGAAAATATTAGAAAATTACCAATAAATTTTAAATTAACTATTTACGCTGTTATTTTCTGATAATGTCGTGTATCGACATCCATATTTACAAAAATCGGCACGTTTATACAAACACAAAATATTCTAAATTCTTTTTAAAATACTGATGGTCTTTGAATTGTAATAATCTCTTCCATTAAGGGTTAGCATGTTACTTAATAACAATATCATCTAACCGCTACAAAATCAGACAGAATTTTAAAAGATTTAAAACTTTATAAATGATTATAATTAAACATTTTTAAAAATTAAATTCATCGAAAAAAAATTTTCTAAGATAACCGTGTACATAATATATTCTATCAATAAAAACAATTAAAAGATTTTCTAATTATATAATGTCTTAGTTTTATTGCATTTTTTTATTTTACGATTCAGAGCAAATTTTCTGTAACTGGGGATCCTGTTTTACAGCACAAAACTGATTATTTAAATTCTCCAAGGACGTATGATTATAACTAATAACTACGAAAATTCATTTCTTGAGATTTAATAAAATTAAATAACTGTGAGGTAACAGATGTAATATATATATATATATATATATATATATATATATATATATATATATATATATATATATATATATATATATATATATATATATATATATATATATATATATTGTGACGAGAATATCCATGGCAACCAAGAAAAAGAGTCTTAAAAACGCTCATATCCATGGCAACAAAGAAAAAGTGTCTTAAAAACGCTCTGCGAAAAAAAAAAAACGGTTAGAAGAAGACGCTCAGCAAAACGAAGAAGATGGATTGCAACTAACGGACAGAAAGCTAAGTAAAAAAATATAATCTTTTTTGTAGAATATTGCCTTCTACATTGAAATGTCTGAGATATCGCTCTCTATAACTTTCTTTCTTATGTGAACATTAATTCACTAGTACATTGAATTTAAAAACATTTTATTTTATTCCATCACACCTCAAAACTATCTCCACTCTTAAATCTATTTCCCTCAAGTTACAAATTAAATTGTTTTGTTATTGTTACAATCGTTGCTACCTTTATTTTGCTGCTTTCTTTCTGTTAACAAAATTTTGTCTGAAGCCATGTTTATATCCGAACGACATCCCTGAGCCAACTTGGGTATAGAATATCCGACGTAAATATAAATTGTTTATGACAGTCAGAGAAAATTCGATTATACTTCGAAGCTTCGCCCCGTTCGTGACATAATATATATATATATATATATATATATATATATATATATATATATACCAAGATTTTCTTTAAAAAACAAGAAAGATTTCTCAAATAATTTAATTTATTTGTGAATAGATCTTGAAAGTTTCACTAAAATCCAACAAGTTAATTTTCAAATGAATGTGTTTTTAACTGGAAAAAGACGCTTAAATTTCCTCTATTAATTTATTGTCACCCGATGATACAAGACAAAGATTAACCAAAATGTAGAAGGTTCTAAAAAGGATTAAAAGATATAATTTAATAATCAAAATTTTTTTGATCTTTCCTTTTAATAATAACATAAAAATTTTGACGAAAAGACTTTATCATTATTACTTTGGGGACTTTTTTTCGTCGTGTATGCTGAGTTTTTAGCGAATCTTTCGTGGTACCTACATATAATTAAATATAACTTTTACAGTAATAAGAAATAATGTCAGATTTAAAAAATCCATTAATTCCTTAGAAATTATTATATAAAAAATGGAACCACTAATATTTTATACGGTCGCGTTTTTAGAACGTTTGCATTTCGCCGCCCGTTAATGAGGTGACCTCTTGATAATATCTGTGTGGCGCCGTTGGGAAATGCCTGAACATCATACAAGTTAACCAAGCCTCGTGAATGAAATTAGGTTGGTAGAACTGTACGGAAGACGTTGGTCTCTGTGCTAGGGTGAAGCCACAAGCCGTAGTGAGCAAGGGTTTGAGCGTACTGGTTTTGTTCAACTACATTTCACCCCAGATTATGAGCTCCCTCCCATAAATTATATGGCCCACTCAGCAAAGAAGCTACTCAACATAGTCGCAGTATAAATAACAGGTTGCCTCATTAGGTATTGATTTTTTTAATTTGTTTTGATTTTTTAATTTGTCTGTGCATTTGCTCTATAAGTAGCCGGCCTTCAACGTTCCTTTCATCAAAACAGTCCTGGTGTTTCCGAACCGGTGGTCATATCACCTCCAAAGAAAACAGTATGCAGCTTTTCAGCTTTTGGAAGTAAAGTCTGATGATCCAGAAGCCTGTTAAAGGGGTTATGGTGAAATAGCTTATTACATGGAATCTTAACGTGGTCTGTCTTTTATTCAAACATATCTGCTCTGAATTTTACATTGAGCTCTCTGGATATCATCCTCCTCAGGTCTACCCATACGAATTACCTAAATTTGCATAAACTCTCTCTCTCTCTCTCTCTATATATATATATATATATATATATATATATATATATATATATATTCATATATATATATATATATATATATATTTTAATTATAATGAAAATATTTTTATATTAATATATATATAATATATATATATATATATATATATATATATGGTGAATTATAGTGAGATCATTGTGATGTGATTCAGATTATATTATTTGGATAATCATATTCACGATAAAGAATAAATCAGAAGGTTGATAATATTTTTTATGAGATAAAACTAAGTCAAAGGACCGATCAAAATTTGTGATTCCTATACTCAAAATTGGGTGTAAATCAGGATCACTTAATATAAAACTGTGGTTCAAATGGTGGGTTTCCTATCCTCAACGACATTCAATATTTTATTTCTACCAGTCTTCAGTTTATAGGAATTCAGTTTCCTGCAATAAATTTGATGTCATAAAATAAGCCGTCTTTTTTAATGTAATTTATTGTTCTTGAAGATAACCCTAGTCAATCTATACATTATATATATATATATATCATATAAAATTTTCATTGTGAAATTTTCCGAGACACAAGTCAAATGGTATTTCAAAATTTATCATTCATCATCAAAATTGGGTGTAAGTGTTAATCAGTTAAGACTGTTTCATATGCGAATTTAACCTGATTCATCTTAGACAATATTTTCTTATTATATATTGTGTCAAATATTGAAATTGTCATGCAAAAGATTTTAAAACAAAATATCCTTCATTCCAAAGTCATTTGAAAGCATCAATCAACTTGCTCTATTTTGTATTTGTTTCACAGTTGGCCAATAGATTCTAATTAAAGATTTAATAGCAGGTCCTCAATAATATATAAACAAAAGACATTTGTTTTTTTAGTTTTATATACATCAAAAGAAAAATAATTATTTCAGAATAATAACATCTGTTAATCTAATTTATAGTTCTTGAAAAAGCCTTAGTCGATCTATACATTAGATATACCATAAAAATTTCTTAGTTCCATATCAATGTTTGACTTATACACAAGATCGATTGATAAACGAATAGACATATTCTTGTTTTGCAAGTTAGTAAAGCCTTTCTTTTGCTTGTAACTTGCAAAAATGGTACTCTGTTTTGGGGCAGCATCAGTATATAGTAAATTCCTACATAGGAATGCATCACGTGTGAAAAGATGCGGGAGTGGGGTGCTTCTGAGCGAATATGCAAGCGCTAGAGGGCATGTGTAAACGATAGGTCCTTGCAGTCACGTAGGAAAGTAGCGAGATCCGTGTGTAATCATATCAATTTATCTTCACGTGTAGCATCAACGTATATCACCTTATCTCGACACACGCTGTAATCACCAAACTCACATTGCGACTCGCAACAGGGTCACCTTCATCTTTCTGACCTCTTTCATCCTCGATAGTAGCCATATTAACCATCTCAAGGCGTTGATGAGCCTATAAAAATCGAGCAAACGTTACCAGAAGTTACACACTCAAGCTTCAGCTTTTTTCACTATACCACATTTTCTTTATGGCGCACAATTCATTTTACAATAATGTTCACCCTATATACGGCCCAAGAGTTATTCGAGGTAGAGTGATACAGAGTAAGAAGTAAGAGACACAGTTTATGCGGATATGTGGGGAAGATAACGGTTAAACCTAGACTTGAATAGGTTAAGATTGTAGTGATCTGGGAAGCATCCTCTTGGGAGTCGGTTCCACAAAGTAGCGGTTAAATTTAGTAAAAATGATGCACTCTTCTCTTCTCTCTATCTCTCTCTCACACACACACGCTCCCACTCCTTCTCTCTCTTTCTCTCTCGTTAACACATACATACACAAAACATGAACTATTCTACAGGCGTCAGTAATAAATAAATCAGATCCGGTATTCTTGATTGAAAGGTTAGTCAAACTGGGTGTTGAAAATTTTCTCTAATCCACCTCTCTCTCTCTCTCTATATATATATATATATATATATATATATAAACTTTCACAAACTTTTTTACTCTTTCACTTAACTGAGAGTCAATGCAGATTTAAATGCCAGAGATCTGCGAATGAGCAACTAAAATTAAGCAAAATTCATTCTTCTTCTTTTACCTCTCGCTCTTTCTCTCTCTCCCTCCCTCTCTCTCTCTCACGCACACACACACACACATTCAATATTAGCACCTTCACTTTGAGTGTGAGACAAAGCAGATTTCATATATACAGTTTTTTTCCTAATCTGCTCACATTGGACCAGATTTTTCGAATTTTCCCAACGACTAACGCAGTTGCGGAACGATCCTGCAGCCGGCTCAAGCATATAAAGCCCGACATTCAATTTATATCACACAACAGATTGCTTGAATGTGGTTAGTTCTTTATTACCAGACGGAACTACTGAAGTGAATCATATTAAAGTAATTTACAAAAATAAATTCGAGGCCAAAATTTATATTGGAGTTGCTTCAAACATTTTTTATATAGCTTCGTTTTGTTTCTTTTATTGTGTAAGATACGGAATAATTAATGCACACGTTTTCATCAATGCCGGG